TAATCGGCCCACAGGAAGGTTATTGTTTGGCCAAATAACATATGTTGTGTGATCATGTGTGTGTTTATTGCTTATGTGAATAGTGATCGGCCCACAGAAAGGTTATTATTTGGCCAAGTAACAAACATACCTGTGGTAATAAATATGTGACAATTATCAAGAATTCTCCATGCAATTCATAGTCGGCCCACAGGAAGGCTATGATTTGACAAGACTTATTGTCAATGTTTGATTACTACATTAAGAGTACCACTTACAAGTTGATATTTTTGTCCACAGACTAAATATTAATGTTGTGCTAGGTATCTTATAATAAACTCATTTTACTTCGGATTATTTTTCTATATCGTGTATGAATATATATGATATGACATGTTATTAGTATGTTATCTTTTTTGGTTCTCTGTATAGTTTCTGCTACCGCTGCCAATTACGTTGCTCAAATGAATATGCTTCCAATGCTTAATGGGGCAAATTTCAAGCTGTGGAAAGAGAATATGGAAATGTTCTCGGTTGCATGGATCTCGACAATGTGCTAAGGACTGAGAAACCCACTTCCACTCAGGAAAATCCAAACACGGATAAAATTGAGAAGTGGGAACGCTCAAATCGCATGTGTCTGATGATCATGAAACGTTCCATTTCGGAGGCGTTTAGGGGCTCAATTGTTGAGACTACTGATGCCAAGTTGTTTCTGAAGGAACTCGAGCAATACTTTGCTCGAAATGAAAAGGCTAAAATTGGTCAAACCTTGTCCAAACTCATAAACATGAGGTATAAAGAAAAGGGAAACATAAGGGAGTGCATTATGGAAATGTCTAATCTTGCTGGAAAACTAAAGGCATTAAAGTTAGAGCTGCCCTCTGAGTTGCTCATGTACTTAGTTATTATCTCTCTTCCTGCACAATACGGTCAATTTGTGGTGAGTTATAACACTCAAAAGGAAAAATGGACTCTTAATGAGCTCATTTCTCACTGCGTGCAAGAGGAAAAGAGGTTACAGCGAGAGAAGACTGATAGTGCTCACTTGGCATCAACCTCTCAAGACAAGAAGAGAAAGAGAGCTAAGGATAATGCAGATACTTTGCCAAAGAAGCAAAAGAAGCAGGATCAGGAATTCACCTGCTTCTTTTGTAAGAAATCTGGACACATGAAGAAAGAGTGTTCCAAATACAAGGCATGGCGCGAAAAGAAGGGTATGACTCTCACTTTAGTTTGTTGGTACTGGTTCTGTGGCGCAAGCGTTTAGGTCATATCTCTAAACAGAGAATTCAGAGGCTTGTGACTGATGGAATTCTTGAACCCCTTGATCTGGATGATTTTGAGGTGTGCATTGAATGCATAAAGGGGAAACAGACAAACATAAGGAAAATAGGTTCAAACAGAGCTTCAGACGTCTTAGAATTGATTCATACGGATATTTGTGGACCATTTCCTATAGCCTCTTGGAATGGTCAACAATACTTTATCACATTCATAGACGACTATTCAAGATTTGGATACCTATATTTGATTAGTCATGGTGAGGAGTATGCTTAGTCATTCTTCATTGCCAGAATCACTTTGGGGAGAAGCACTAAAGACTGCAGTTTATATCCTTAATAGGGTTCCCAGCAAAGTAGTGACAAAAACCCCTTATGAGCTATGGAATGGAAAGAAACCTAGCATAAGGCATTTACACATTTGGGGTTGTCCAGCAAAAGCAAGGCCTTATAGGCCAAAAAGTGCCATTAAGGAGATCCACTAGAGAAAGGAGAAATGCAATTCCGGATGATTATATTGTGTTTCTTCAAGAGCATGAAAATATTTTAAGCTTGAAGGAAGATGATCCAATCAACTTCCAACAAGTCTTAGAAAGCTCTAATGCTCATAAATTGATTGATGTCATGAAAGATGAGATGCAATCTATGAAAGACAACGACGTTTGGGATCTTATTGAGTTGCCTAAAGGTGCGAAACCCATTGGTTGTAAATGGATATTTAAAACCAAAAGGGATTCAAATGGCAACATCAAAAGATATAAGGCACGTCTAGTTGCTAGAGGTTTCACTCAGAAAGAAGGCATAGACTATAAATAGACTTTCTCTCCGGCTTCTACGAAGGACTCTTTTAGGACAATAATGGCGCTTGTGGCTCATTTGGATTTGGAGCTACATCAGATGGACGTAAAGACAGCGTTTCTCAATGGTAACATTGATGAGACAATTTATATGGTGCAACCAAATAACTTTGTATTGGGAGATTCGAAGTCTATGGTTTGCAAATTGAAAAAGTCCATCTATGGCCTTAAGCAAGCTTCTCGTCAATGGTACCACAAATTCCATCAGGTTATTATCTCCTATGGCTTTGAGGTGAACTTAGTGGAAGATTGTGTGTATCATAAGTTCAGTGGGAGTAAATTCGTATTCCTGATATTATATGTTGATGATATCTTACTTGCCAATAGCGATGTAGGCTTATTGCATGAAACCAAGAAACTTCTCATTAAATTTTTTGAGATGAAGGGCCTTGGTGATGCATCTTTTATCTTAGGAATACAGATACTTCGAGATCGCGCTCAAGGTATCCTACGGTTATCACAAAAGGCCTACATTGAAAAGATTTTGGATAGATTTGGCATGAAGGATTGTACGTCAGGAGATACGCCCATATCTAGGGGAGACAAGTTTAGTTTTGCCTAATGCCCTAAAGGTAAGCTTGAGATGATAGAAATGACAAAGGTACCTTATGCTTCGGTAGTAGGAAGCCTTATGTATGCCCACGTTTGTACTCGCCCTGATATAGCATTTATAGTGGGAGTGTTAGGAAGATACTTGAGCAATCCAGGAATGGATCATTGGAAAGCAGCCAAGAGGGTTATGCGGTATTTAAAGAGAACAAAAGATTATATGCTTACATATCAGAGGTCAGATCAATTAGAGATCGTCGGATATACTGACTCTGATTTTGCTGGATGCCAAAATAGTAAAAGATCCATGTCAGGTTTTGTCTACATGTTGGCTGGAGGAGCTATTTCTTGGAAGAGTGTTAAACAGACACTCGTAGCTTCCTCTACTATGGCCGCTGAATTTGTAGCTTGTTTTGAGGCATCCAACCTTGAATTTTTTTATTGAATTTATCATATAATAATAAAAAATATCATTATCAATAGAGAAGTAAATATTTTTTTAATATTGAATTTGTATATATTTTATATTTTATAACTAATTTTATTGCAAATATAATATAATATTGAATAAAATATAATTATAAATAGAAAAGAAAACATCTTTCACTTAAAATAAATAAGATTCTTATTGAATCATTAAAATATAGATCTTTATTATGGGGAGTAATCTTTTGATCTAATGTAAGACTTAAAAGTCTTATTTCTCGTCTCATCCGTTATTTTTCGTTCATCTAACAGTTATTATTTATTTGAAATTAATAATTAATTAATTGGTATAACTCAGTAAATTATTATCATTAGATAGTCGTAAATCAGCGGTTAAGATGAGAAGTAAGATTTCTAAATCTTACACTAGAGTCGAAAGATCCCTTCTCATCTATTATATATATTTTGTAAAATTATGAATGCATATTTTTGTTCATATATTATATTTATAATTTATTTTATATTTATGAAAAGTTTAATTTATTCCCATCCTAAATTTTATATATTTGCAATAAGATTAGTGGATGCATCTTCATCTTTATTAGTTTTTTTTTCTTTTTATTAATATTATTGTATGTCTTTGTTATCTTTTACGCTACAAAACGACGTCGTTTTAGACTTACTGGAAATAATTTATCGATTGGAAAAATTGTTTACATTTCCGTTAAAATCCTTTAAAATTCAATCTTAGCAAATCTTAATTGTAAAAATAATCTTTTAATTTTTTTTAATAAATTCATATTATCCTTACAAATCTATTAAAAAATTTATAGATTTTTTTTCCTAAAGAAATCTTTTAATCTTAATTCAATATCCTTTAATGATTTCATGACAATTTTTTACAAATTAATTTTTTTTTATATATCCTACTAAGTTATGTAGTACCGATACTGACACGAGACACGTGACACGACACGACACGACACTTCGACACGTTAATTCTAAAAAATGTTAGATTTCGACACGTTAAGACACGTTCTGATATTAAATAATATTTTTATTTTATGTAGTGTATATTATATTGAATATTCAATAATTTAACAAAAAAATGAAACTAAGCTTATAATATTAATCAATTTTGCAAAGAAACATAAGATATCCCAAATATTTATATTAAACTCAATAAAATGGTAATCGTAATCTAACGAATCTAATAGTTGGAACTAAAAACTCAACACAATGAAACCTTTGAACCTTTTTTTGAATTTCTATAACACGTGTTGAAGTGTCGGGGAATGTCGGAGTATCGGAGAGTGTCGAGAAGTGTCGGACACAACACGTCGGGATTTTTGAAGTGTCGGTGCTTCATAACTACTAAGTAATATTAATATAATATGTATTAATAATTATGCATATGTATTGTGAATCCTTGTATCCCAATTTTCTCATAGCCACATCAATCACTTTATAACGGGAATCTTACAAAATCAAGAAATATTTTCCTATAAATTATAAGGTCTTTATCCTTTAACTCTAATTCCAAGAAATCAAGCTCTATTTGCATTCTTGAAATCAAGCTCTAAGAGGGCGTTTGGTACAGGAGAAATTTTTATTTGTCCGAGAATCTCAATTTTCAAAAATATGATTTTTACGTTCAGTTTACCATAATATCTAGAAATTTAAAATTTAGAAAAATTCAGTTTCCCGGGAATCCGGCCAAATACCGTGTACCAAATGCCCCCTAATTGCATTCTTGGAGGGAGCTATAGTACTGTGTACCCAAAAATTCTGAACCGACCACTTTTTCAATCAAACGGTTCCCATCACTCGTCGAAACACTCTCTTTCCCTTTCCCTTCCCCTTTCCCTCAGCGGTTTTAATCATAAACCCTAGCCGAAACAGTGAAACACACTCACTCACTTTCTCTCTCTTTCCCTCAGCGCTATTTTCCCCTTCGTTCTGATTTCTCGCTTTTGTTTTCGTTCAAGGTTCAATTTTTCCAGAATCTTTTTTCTGTCTTTGCTTTCTTGATTTCTTTTCTTTTTGGTTTTTAATTTTTTTTTTCTATATCGGACACGGTCGTTGTTCGATTTTTCTTGTTTCTTGGCATATCTTTTTTTTACTAACCATGGGTCCTGATTCACCGTGAAAAAGAAAGAAAGAAAAAAACCGGGTCCGGTTCGGTTTTTTTTTTCGTTTTCTTGGAAGCTGTGGTTTCGTTCTTCTTCCGAGTTGGGGAAGAAGCGTACGACAATGCCGGCGGCGGGGATGAGACGGTCGACGAGGGTATTCGGCGTGCGGGTCGGGACACAGGCCGAGTCAGGCCGTGTGCTGCGGTCCGGGCGGCGATTGTGGCCGGAATCCGTCGAGACAAAGACCAAGAGAGGGAACGAAGGGGATGATTGGTCAATGCTCCCCCTGCCGTCGCCGGCGAAGACAACAAAAGGAAATGCCGTTTTGCCGCCTCGCCGCCACGCGAAAATGAAGCGAAGGGAAGGTGTGATTGATGCATACAAAAACGTGGTTAGGGAGGCGGAGGTGGCTACGACGACGGGACATAGGAAAGGAGGTCAGGACGATGATGGTGTTGATAGAAATGTTGACAGAATGTTTGGCATTACGTATACGAGAAAGCGATGGAGATTAGGGACTGAAAGTTCAGAACTTTCTAGAAATAAAGGAAAAGGTGAATGTGAGAGTGGTAGCAGCAGTGAGCTTGTGGTTGTTGTGAAGCCCTGTGCTTTAAAGAGTGATTGGTTTTCGTGTTTATTGGTTTCGATTTTGAGGCACATCACAAGGGTCAGAGTGACACTGGCGGAGCTCTCAGCTTTCTTTCTTTCTGAGCCAATTCATGGTGCTTTTGCATCGCGGGGCATACAGTTCCTGCAGGTGAAATTGTTGTCTTTGTGCATTTCCTTTCCGTTTGCATAATTGGTGTCTTTCTCCATGTTAATGTTAAACCATTCTAAATTAGGGATGGAATTAGAATTTTCTTTTAAAAGATTAGAATTATATTTCATGCAAATAATCTAGGGAAAAAGGTTTGTCCTTGTAAAGGATATAATTTTGTGTCATTTTATATCCAAACAGTTGATTTCCGTCAATATGGTTATAATTTATTGCAAATTACTAATTGATTAATAAATTTGACCCAATAAATTATAATCGTTGATTGACGGAAATCAATGGTTACAATCTAAAATGACACAGTTATATCCTTTCAAAGGACAAACGTTTTTCTCAATAATCTATTATTTTGAAATGTTTTGGACATACTTATTAATTTAGAAAGTCTGTCTTTACTTACAAAAGGAAAGATCAGTGTTGTTAAACCCGGACCGAGCATCAACTCGCTCGGGGTACTGGGTTATTGGTCGGACTGGCGGGTCACTTGTCGGACCGGTTGACCCAGATATATATAAATATATGTATATAAATATGAATAATCAACATCTGGGTGCAACTTGAGAAACATTAATTTTTCCTGCTCATTCACAAAAAAGCCCGAATCTTGAAAAATGAACACAGTAACTCTTCTTCCTGATTAGTGTATGCATATGTAAAGTTTTTTTGTTTGGATGGTGTAGCAACATATAACCCAAGTTAATACCATTAATAACAAATAAGCTCAAAATATAACCTTGAACAACCCCTCTTGCGTCTGAGATTGTTGATCCAAGTATTCATGTTTTAGACTAACCTGTACACAATACATGCATTGATTAACATACATACATGACTAATAGCAATAGAACTATATGGCGTGCTTAATGAATGCAATAATAGACCAATTGAAGGTTGTTTCTCAACAGCCATGATCAAGGCATACCTTCCCTCGACAAATAGCAAAAAAAGAATAACAAAACATGGCAACTGAAGATTGTAATAAGTCATGTAGGCATTATTTGGTTAGACCCATTATTTGGAATAATAGGAATTAAAATCTGAATATTAACGAAACAAAGAAATGCAAAATCTACAAGTAACATGGCAATAAAACTCATTTGAAGTTAAAAATTTTAATGCCCTTAAATTTTAAAAATTTATCAAAAGGAACTGTATTAGACGCATCCCTGTTATCTAATCAGGAGATATTACAAATCTGGGGAAAAAAGAATGAAAGAAAAAAAAGAAAGAGAACCTGAAGAACCAAAATGGAGGTTTGGCGTGAGAGCAGTGATGAAAGCCTGGTGCTATAAAAGCTTTGGCGCTCTGTTATTTGCAAGAATGGTTAGACCCATTATTTGCAAGAAGCTATTTGAAAGAAAGGTAAACCATGAAAGGGAAAGAGGGAGACTCAAACTCACCTGGAGCAACGCGGCGGCGACGAAGAACACCACCAGGAGCCACGCGGCGACGAAGAACACCACCAGGAGCCACGCGGCGGCGACGAAGAAGACTATGTATTTTGCACGGTTTAGCTGTTTAGCCTTTAGGGATTTCGCAAACTTTAGGGATTTTTTAGGGACATAGTTATTTTTGTGTGATTTTTTAAGTTTTTTTTTTTATTTTTTTACTCTGACCCGGACCGGTTCATAAAACCCGGAGGGTCAACGGGACCCGTTAAAAACCCGGCGGGTCAGTGGGGGCTGATTACTTGTCCGGTCCAATAGCTGACCCAAACTGGTCACCCAACCGGGACCTGGGTCGACCCGACTGGGTCGGTCCAGGTTTAACAGCACTGGGAAAGATGAACTAGCCTGTAGTTATAGAATTATTAGGATTGTTAATTGAGCATGCTTAACAAATATTTAAGGTTTTTTCATTATGGCTGCTATCTTCAATGTAGTAGCTGCTCTATGATCCGCTATGCCATAATAGCCTTTTTGAGGAAGGTACTAAGCTAGAATTATTTTTTCATTTGTTTATACAAGAATATATAATATAATTATTAATAGATGGATTGGATGCGTTATCCAACTATTAAAATGGATTAACATATGGATTGGATATCCATCCATTTATTGTGTATTGGAAGCATTGGATTTTCTTTTCTTTTTTTAATATGTTTTGCGGATCTTATATGGATTAATTTTTTTTAATCCATCTATTATAGTATATTGGAAGGATTGCATTTTCTTTTTTCTCTTTTTAGTATGTTTTAGCGGATCTTATATGGACTAGTTGTTTATTTTTTTTCCATCCATTATAATCTGATCCAAAACATAGTCTGTTTATCTGTTTGCCAACCTTAGTAATTAGTAATGAACAGTTGGAAACTCTAAAGTACGTATTCCATTTCTTATATGTTTCGTAGTAATAGAGTTCAAGGAATATCTCATCCAACACCTTAAGGTTTTGGGTTGAATTGGTTCTTTACAGTAGTAATAGAGTTCAAGGAATAAAAGATAGAAAGTGAGAGAAAATGATACAAAGAGAGAATGCCATAGGTCTGAACTGACTCTGAATTAATGAATTGAAAGATACAAGAGATACAATGGGTTCTATTTTATAGAACCAAGAGCTGAGTCAGGAATGAGTTAGCATCTAAGTCTAACCGAAACTCTAACCAATCATAACAAACCATAACATAACATCAGAAAAATAATTACATGCAGTACGGTGCAGAGTAATTACAGTAAGCTCCAGCTAACAGAAAGTTAGAATACTGATTAATTCTACTTAAACTCTAATTGGTAGAAATACAAAATGATTTTTTCCCTTTTTTTGAGGAAAAAAATTACAATCACTGTTTACTGGTTGGTTTTGCAGTATTTTATTTGTTCCATGATCTAATGCTATTCCTGGTTTTTTTCATCTTTCAGGGCCCTCCTACTGTCAACATTGGAATATGCCAGTTCTTTGGTTTCATACAGTTCATCCCTTTGTTCTGTGTGGACTATTCTGCTGTTCCTCTTTGTTTTGAGTATCTTCATTCTGCTATGCTTTTAAAATCTATGTTTAGGTCATTTTTTCTTGTACATAATCCAATGGATGTGCATAGTGATGTTGAGGATGATGAGATGGAAATTTATTTCCCAGAATACCAAAACAAACGGCAGATTTCTTGCGATGCCTTCAAGAGGGAACCTTGTGAGACTGGAATTGTTACTCCTGATGTTATGGAAATCAATGACAATTTATATTTACATTCCCCTGTCAAGAGCCCTAGGGTAATTGGTAGAAATGGTCAGTATAGGAACATTGTGAACTCTAGAGGCTTTCAGAAGAGAAGTTCACTCAGGAAAAGGAAAGCTCGTAGTCCTCCAATGATGAGTTTATGCAGAAGTACTCGAGTAGTAGCTTCTAATTTCATGGCTGGTAGGAAAAGCAATAGCCAGTTGTCTGGTGTGACCTCTTGCAACGAACTTAGGAGTTTGGCTAACCGTAGCACAACTGGATGTTTGAAAGAAGCAAGTTCTGCCATAGTGGATTCAGCTGAAGCAACTAGATTAGATTCATCAATCTGTTCTGCAAACTTATTGATTACGGAATCAGACCAATGCTACAGGGTAGAGGGAGCAATTGTCACTCTAGAGATGTCTGCTTCAAGAGAATGGCTTCTCACTGTAAAGAAGGATGGATTGACAAGATGCTCTTTCAAAGCAGAAAAAATAATGCTACCCTGCACTTCCAATAGGTTCACCCATGTGACATTGTTTTTGTTGGACAATGGGTGGAAGCTGGAGTTTGCCAATCGCCAGAACTGGACTGTCTTTAAAGACCTTTATAAGGAGTGTTCTGATCGTAATATCCCTGCTCCTGTTGCTAAAGGTATTCCAGTGCCAGGCGTGTATGACGTGTCTACCTATGCAGAAGAAAGTAATGGTTTTCCCTTTCACAGACCAGATACATATATATCTGCTTGTGGGGATGAGTTAAGTAGAGCAATGACAAGGAGAACTGCGAATTATGATATGGATTCTGAAGATGAGGAATGGCTGAGCAAGTTCAATAGTGAGTTTCAAGAGCATGTTTCTGAGGATAATTTTGAGTTAATTATTGATGCTTTGGAGAAGTTTTATTATTGTAATCCGGATGATTCTTTTGATGAAAAATCTGTGGCTAATGGTTGTGAGAATCTTGGTAGCAAGGAAGTTGTAGAAGCTGTATATACCTATTGGATGAGAAAACGGAAGCAAAAACGTTCTTTGCTACTTAGGGTTTTCCAGGTAAAATTTCCATCATATTTTTAATATTGTATTGTGTGTGTGGAATATGTTGATTATATATTTCTCGTTCTGTGGTATATAATATATTTACCTTTAAAATGTTATTGTCTATGCACAACATGATGCTTTGTTATCTTTCGATCTTGTAGTTAGAAAATAGAGATGATTTAGGTCCTGAACAGGGTTTTCCAAATGTTTTCTTACATGTGTATTTTAAAAATCTGGAATGTGTGCACATGTGTTATAGTTAATATAGTGTACTTCTATTAGCCTGTTTGCCCAATATGGGTTTGAGTCCATTTAGTTCCATGTGTGTCATTTTACACATGCGTCTGTTATAAAATTCACTTTATTCTTGCTTGCTGGCAAATGGGTTGTTAATCATTCAAACAAAAATGACAATTTCATGAACATTTGCTCCTTGTGACAATTTCGTTTCTTCTAACCACTGCTGATCCAAAACGATGGAATTTATATTTGACTATTTATAGAGTAAAATTTATGAATTAAGTCATGAGTATGAAAGAAATTTCTGGAGACGGATTGCTATTTGGTTTAGGGATCTATTTCAATTGATGTTCTTATTAAGTAGCCACAGCATTTGCCTTTGGAACAACAAAAGTACAGTAACTTAGGTGTAGTTAGGGACTATTGTAAGACTTATTTGTAGTTATTGAAAAGAAGTTTTTGTATATTGATTTTGAATAATTTACATGAGTGAGTATTTATACAAGAAAGAATCGCTAAGAATGACTAAGCGATGACTAATCAATCCTAATCACAATCAATTCTAATCAATCACAATCAATTCTAATCAATCACAATCAATCCTAATCAATCACAATCAATCCTAATCAATCATAATCAATACTAATTAATAGGAAATAAAAACGGAAACATGTTTGAATTCTGATTTTCTACACTCCCCCTCAAGTTGGGAGGTAAATATTGATCATTCCCAACTTGCCAATCAAGTCTTCGAATGCTGGACGGTGTAGGCCCTTGGTAAGGATATCTTCCGTTTGCTATTTGGTTGGAACATATATCAAACGCACACTTCCATCATCTAATTTTTCTTTGATGAAGTGACGATCAACTTCCACGTGCTTTGTTCGATCATGATGCACAGGATTTTGAGCAATGCTAACAGCTGCCTTGTTGTCGCAATATAGTTTTATTGGTAGGGAATATGAAATCTTCAACTCTTGAAGAAGTCTTCTCAACCAGATTCCTTCACAAACTCCATGAGCTAAAGCTCGAAATTCTGCTTCAGCACTACTTCTTGCAACCACTGTTTGCTTTTTGCTTCTCCAAGTAACAAGATTTCCCCACACACATAGGTGCAATAGCCTGAGGTAGATCTCTTGTCTACTGATGAGCCTGCCCAATCTGCATCAGTGTAGATTTCAATTGTCCTTTTATACCCCTTTTTAAAGAATAATCCTCTTCCTGGAGTATTCTTGAGGTATCTAAGCACCCTATAGACTGCACTAAGATGCTTCTCCTTGGGTGAGTGCATGAATTGACTAATCATACTCACCGCAAAGGCAATGTCAGGACGCGTATGAGATAAGTAGATTAGTTTACCAACCAATCGCTGATATTGTTCTTTATCCACCTCATTCCCATCTTCAATACCTAACTTGGTATTAGGTTCCACAGGTGTCTCAGTAGGTTTACACCCTAACATTCCTGTTTCCAACAAAAGATCTAGAACATATTTCTTTTGTGTTAGAGTGATGCCTGTTTTGCTCCTAGCAACTTCCATACCAAGGAAATATTTGAGAGTGCCAAGGTCTTTGAGTTCAAATTGAGCTGCTAGAAATTTCTTCAAGGTGTTCAATTCCTCAATATCATCACCTGTAAGAATTATATCATCTACATATACAATAAGAATAGCAATTTTACCATCCTTAGAGTGTTTGTGGAAGAGAGTATGATCAGTCTGTGCTTGAATGAAGCCTCTTCTTTTGACTGCTTGTGTGAATTTGTCGAACCATTCTCTGGGAGATTGTTTCAATCCATATAGAGACTTTTTTAGTTTACACACTGATCCATTTCCCTTTTCAAAACCAGGTGGAGGATATAGACTTCTTCATGTAAGTCACCATTTAGGAATGCATTCTTCACATCTAACTGTTGCAGAGGCCAATCTAGATTGGCAACAAGAGATAAGAGAACTCGGATGGTATTGACTTTAGCAACCGGAGCAAAAGTCTCATGATAATCTATCCAATGAGTCTGAGTGAAACCCTTTGCAACCAATCTTGCCTTGTATCTGTTGATGCTATTATCTGCATTGAATTTTATTGTAAACACCCATTTGCATCCTACTGCCTGTTTTCCTTTGGGTAGGGTCACTATCTCCCAAGTTCCATTTCTTTCTAAAGCATTCATTTCTTCAAAGACAGCATCCCTCCATTTTTGATCATTGAGAGCCTCATGTATATTTCTCGGTATCTTTGTACTATCCAACATAGTATTGAAAGCACGAAACCCTGGGGACAACTTTCCATATGAAATATGATTAGAAATAGGATGAGTAGTACAAGATCAAGTACCTTTTCTGAGAGCAATGGGCAAGTGTAGATCATTTTCACCATGACACTCAAGTATTGGGGTGCTGGAACTATAGAACATGGTTCAGAATCCTGGTAGTGTAGAGGCTCTGGGTTATTCACACTTTGAGGAGGCTTTCGCCTGCTATAATCTTGTCCCCATTTTGAGGAGGCTCCTGATGGTGAGGATTCTGTAGCTCTCCCTGTTTCCAAAAGTAGAGGTAATACCGTGGCATCAGTAGGTTCCCATGACTGATCTTCATCTACTCCTATAGACTCCCCCTGAAGAGAAGTCGAGGGGAAGAAAAGGTCATTCTCAGAAAAAGTGAGATCCATAGAGACAAAGACCTTACGAAGAGAGGGTGAATAACATTTATAGCCACGTTGAGTAGGAGAATAACCAATAAAGACACACTGAAGAGACTTAGGATCAAGCTTAGACCGTTGATGGGAGGGAATATGGACAAATACAACGCAACCAAATAACTTGAGAGGTAAGGAGGAGACACTTCGGAAGGAAGGGAGGATACGAACAAGACTAGAAAGAGGAGATTGAAATTTCAGAATGCGAGATGGCATTCGATTTATCAGATACGAGGCAGTGAGAACTGCCTCTCCCCAAAGATATTTAGGAACACTCGTGGTAAACATAAGAGCCCGAGCAACTTCAAGGAGATGTCGGTTTTTTCTTTCCGCAACTCCGTTTTGTTGGGGTGTGTCAGGACACGAGCTTTGGTGAAGGATGCCATGTTGGGAAAGATATTCTCCAAGAATAGAGTTAAAATACTCTTTGCCATTATCAGTACGAAGAATTTGTATAGCAACTTGGAATTGGGTTTGAACCATGGCATGAAATTTTTTAAACACGGATGCAGCATCGAACTTATCCTTTAGAAGATACACCCAACAGACTCGAGAATGGTCATCAATGAAGGTAATGAACCATCGAGTACCTGAAATATTTTTAACACGGGCTGGACCCCATATGTCACTATGAATTAAGGAAAATGGGGAAAAGTCATGGTGAACTTTAGAAGGATAATGAGCACGAGTATGCTTGGCAAGTTGACAAATATCACAAGAAAACAAACTTGGACTTTTATTAATAAATAAGTTTGGCAACAACTTCTGAAGATAAATAAAATTTGGATGACCTAGCCTACGATGCCACAGCATAACATCATTACATGAATCAAAAAGAAAACATAGTGTTTTTCTACGAAAACAGCTTCATGAGTCACATCCTCCTCAAAGTAGTAAAGTCCATCATCCTCTCTAACACTGCCAATCATCCTCTCCGAGTCCTGTTCCTGAAAAACACAACCATGTGGAAAGAATTTAGCAAAGCAATGCAACTCAGAGGTGAGCTTACTAATGGAAATGAGATTACAAGTCAGAGAAGGAACATAAAGAACTGATGTCAAAGTAATCAACTCAGAAAGTTTAATGGTTCCGTGTCCCGCAATCTGGGAAAAACTGCCATCGGCGATCTTGACCCGAGAAGGTTCAAAATATGGAGTGTATGAACAAAACAAGCCAAGATTACCTGTCATATGATCAGAGGCTCCAGAATCAAGGGTCAAATGATTTTGACTATCAACATGGAAAGCTGTACCTTGCTGGACCACATGACTAGTGGCCGTAGGAGGTTGAGTCAAAAGTCTCTGAAGTTGTTCAAACTGAGTCTTGCTAAGAAAGACACCATCAGAGTCAGAGGATGCATGAGGCTCATCAACCTTGTCATCAGTAGAGACCTGATATGCACGACCTTTATTTTGTCCTTTGGGCTTCCAATTTGCAGGTTTCCTGTGGATTTCCCAACATTTCTCACGGGTATGACCAATTTTATTGCAGTGGGTGCACCATGGACGACCATCCCGTTTTGATTCTTCGGAGGAACGGTCAATGGTACGGTTGGCAGCTAATGCAGACATATCATCAGACTTATCAAGCGACTCCTTTTCTCCCAGCATAACTCAGCATAACTCTCCGTCTACTGGCTTCTCGACGAACTTCAGCAAAGGCGTCAACAAGTGAAGGTAACGGTCGCTGCCCCAATATTCGACCACGAACCTCATCAAGATCTCGGTTGAGTCCGGCAAGGAAATCATACAGTCTTTCCTTCTCCAAGTGTTTTTTAAATTGGGTATTAGCTTCCAACCCCTTAAGATCAGATGCATAATAAAGATCCAATTCCTGCCATAAATTCGTTAGTGCAGTAAAATATTCAGTAACAGTCATACCCCTTTGACGAAAGTCTCTCAACTTATTTTTCAGTTCAAAAACTTGAGAGGTATTCTCCAGATCGGAGTAATTCTGTTGAACAGCATCCCAAATTTCCTTGGCAGTATCAAAGAACAGATAGGTTTGGCCAATCTGTGGTTCCATGGAATTAGTCAGCCAAGCCATAACCAAGGAATTATTAATCTCCCAATCGTCATAATCAGGAGAATTCTCAGTAGGTTTCTTAATTCTTCCCTCAAGATAGCCCATCTTACCCTTTGCCCGGATGACCAACTTAACTGATTGAAACCATTGCAGAAAATTCTTACCGTTCAACCGGTGATTGGTGATCTGCAAACCTAAGTTGTCTCCAGAGGACTGAGAATTTGGGGCAAATGAGGAGGCGGAAGAGTGTTTTGAGGAAGCCATGAATAGAAAGAGAAGGGTTGACCGTTGATGAAAAATCAAGTTTTGTAAATTTTTGATCTGACCTCTAGAACAGGAAGGGGAGAAGCCGGCGAGAAGGTCTGTGCAAGTCGCGGCGGAAAAAGACGTTGGGAAGGCGGCGCGTGGAGTTCACGCGCCGGAGACTGGCCGCGCGTGTGACGGCGCGTGGCGGCGCGTGCGGCGGTTGACAGCGATGGGTCCAGCGGTGGTCGACTTGTCGGATCCTTCTGAGTCGAATGGTCACCTCACTTTCTTGATCGGAGGTCAGTAGACTAGGTTTCTGTGTTGGACAGATTCAAGGAGGTGTTTAGGAGGTGTTTGACGGTGATGGAAGTGTTTGGATGGTTATTTCAGATTTGAATTAGGGTAGGAACGAACCCGCTCTTGATACCATATTGAAAAGAAGTTTTTGTATATTGATTTTGAATAATTTACATGAGTGAGTATTTATACAAGAAAGATTCGCTAAGAATGACTAAGTGATGACTAAGCGATGACTAATCAATCCTAATCACAATCAATTCTAATCAATCACAATCAATCCTAATCAATCATAATCAATACTAATTAATAGGAAATAAAAACGGAAACATGTTTGAATTTTGATTTTCTACGGTAGTCAAGCCATTATGTCCCATTGAAAATTGAGAAGCAATATTGTAAAACTTCTGAACCTCATTTTCTTTTCTGATTTGAGCTATGTTATCAGTTTATTTTGTAAACTGGATTGTTCAAGTGATGTATATTTAGGATTCATGGACTTTTAGAACAGGTCATTTGGTATTAGTGTCCCTTACATTTTTTTTAAGTGAATGTTGATACCTATGCCTATATCATTTTGGCTTGATTACCTTGATCACATCTATATAGCTTTTAACCTTGTTCTTCCTTTTTTTTCTCCTCAATCTTAGTTATGTATGATAAATCATGTTAGGGTGGGGACGTTGTTGTAACTTCAGTACTACCCTGCATACCCATATCTGATGACATGGTTTTGTTAATTATGTCAGGGTTATCAATCAAAGAGAGCTCCACTTATCCCTAAGCCTTTGCTGCGAAAGAGAAGGTCCATTAAGAGACAGCCAAGCCAGTTTGGTAGAGGCAATCAGCCAAGTGTACTGAAAGGTAATTTTATGTCTTCAACAAGATGGAATGGGGATTGTTTCTATTAAATTTTCTAAATCGAGTTACTTGACATTATATTGGTGTTGAATTTTGTCGTAGTTATTTTTCCTTGACCCTTTTTGGTATCTGGGTACATAAGAGTCTTTCTTTTTCTGCTCATCTTACGCAATACAAATACTAGAATTTGACCTGTTTGTTCGAAGATCTATGGTGACTGGTTCTTTGAATCAAAGGATTTCCCTGTTTTTACTTATTTCATTTGCTATGGAGTTTACCATATATCTTGTAACTGCATGTATATATTCGTCACATACAAGCTTTTTGATTTGGCATATCATAGCATTGCTGCAAAGTCTGGGAACTTTTGTGAGTCTTTAGAATAATTAAAAATCTGGAATGTGCCTTTTTTTATATTTTCCCCCCTTCCTTTCTTTCTTTTAGTCTACAATGATTTCTAGAAGGAACTGGATGTTATCACTGCTGTTTCTTCGGAAAAAGAAAAAGGAAAAAGGCTGCTGTTTGTTTTGTTGGGAATTTGGATGTTATTACTGATGGTAGAACAACGAGTTTTGAATTCTTCTTTTGTTTAAATCATGTTGGACTTTATTTGATAGGCATTTAAATTGCATGTGTATACTTATATGTACAGATGCATGTTTTGAAAGTTTGTCTCATCTTCTATTCATTTTCAGCAATTGCAGCTGAACAAGATGCCTTGGAAGAGAATGCAATGCGCAGGGTTGAAGAAGCTAAAGCCTCTGCAAACATATCAATGGAATTAGCAGTCCAAAAACGCAAAAGGGCTCAATCTCTTGCTGAGAATGCAGATTTGGCAACATACAAGGCCGCAATGTTAATTAGAATAGCTGAAGCAGCTATGGCTGCAGAGTCAGTAGATGCCGTGGCAGGAAACTTTCTTAATTGACGGTTAGATCGATTCCCCATGCTAATAATTATAATACCACATTTTATTACGCAGTAGATTTGCTGCATTTTTTTTTTTTGTGAAGTTGTAAACATTGTATAGTTTTTTGTATATATATACAGCTTGTGGTTGATTTCCCTTGCTTGGAAGAAAGAATTCTAAGAAAATGCAAATAGAAAAAAGAAATACAGGATTTTTAAGTCTCATGCTTGTGCCTCTTAAAGATTTTTCCTTCTCAGATGCTAATTGAATTTAAATGGGCTAAAGCATTTTATATGGGTTGAATCTAACTAGTTTGGGCTAATGCATTTCCCGTACATGGAATGCACAAACCCTCCCATTTCCTGCAATCAACCTATAGTTATGTTTTGATTAAAATAAAAAAGGTGTACACAAACTATTCTTCTCACCTAAAATCGAATGATTCCCTTAGTGGTTACTGTGGCTGATAATTATATTACATGAATGGTTCTGTTTAGATAAAGTATTGGTTATGGGTCTAGGAAACTAGTAAATGGGCTTTGAGCTTTTTTCTATTTCCCTTAAGCTATCTGTTTGGATGAGAAGAATAGAATAATGAAAGGAGAAGAAATAAATATACGAATAAGGGTTAAATTGTTAAGAATTCTTTAGATGAAAAGAAAATGTATCGAATATTTATATAATCGATTTTTTATTTTGCACGTCATTGTGGTTGTGTTATCGCATTTTTCACCACTGGTGCTACTAGTCTTTCATTTACCACGTTTACATGGTTATTTTAATGGAAAAATCTGTCTGCAGAAATATTATCACTAGAATAAGAGAGAAAAAAATTATTGAGACCCACTTATTCTTTGAGTGTAACAAAAACAGAATTTCTAGAAAAAATAAAAATGTGAAACGTTTATTTTAAATAAAATTCCTCAACTTTATTATTACTGTCAAGACTTTACATTTATACAATTTCTACAATATTTTGATTTTTATTCTACATTTTGGTAACTTAGAAATAATTGCTGCAAAAGTCCGAAACCGCCCCCACGCACTTCAAGATTTTAGTTGGGAACGCTACCACACCCTGAAGGTGGCAACTCCAAGATGGTTGCTTCATCTGTTTTGTTTTTTTATCTTGTTACTTCAGCAATTTGTGGTTGGATTTGTTAAATGTAATAGATATGTGGATATTCTACTAGGTTTTTTCTTACCGAAAATCAAAATGTTTAAGATTTTATTTCTTTCATACTAATTACTCATTTTTATGTTTTTCTTCTTTGTTACATTGCATCTTCATGACTTCATGTGTTTTCTATTTTTATTTTTTTGAAATTTTATTTTTTCCAAAGAAAATTTAATTTGTGTAATGTGTATCCATCAATTCTAATCGTTTCTTGACCGGTACAAAATTAACCCCGAGACAAGCCATAGTTGGTAAATACCAAGGAACGAAAGGTCTCTAATTTGATTTTAAGCAAAGCAACTTGAGATCAGTGACAAAAAATTTTAAACTCTAAATTACGAAGGGAATTAATATGGATAGTTTTTATTCAAATGAATGATGATACCGGAAATGAATTTTTTTGAGAAACTTGTCTTATAGTTCGATCATCCTTGAAAATGCAAATTAGTCATTGTGGGCTGCATTGATGCTTAATTGGCCCATGATTAAGGACTTGAGGTTTTGCATATTAAGTGTTTTTTTATTTTTATTTTCCTAAAGGAAAGTGGGGGATGCGTTAGTGACGGAGTAGCAACTGAAAATCTTTATATTACTCGCAGTTCAACGAATGAAGTACTTATTTTTTCGGATCCTAAATCCTTCGTTTTCCCTCTGTTTTTTTTTTTTTTTTTTTGCCACAGCTAAATAAGTAAATATTCTACTTGCGGTGTAAATGAGTTAGGTGACCTAATAGGGCCTACGACCCAAATTATATCAAGTCAGACTCGATGTATTATATGTAATTAAACAGAACAAGTCAATGCTTTTAAAAAAGCATATTAAGAAAGCAGACCATAGTGTTTTTTACATATCATCCTTATAAGCTATAGGCAAGTCTATATCATATTATTTATTTTAAATAAAATAAATAAAATTATAATTTTAATAATTTTGAATAATAAAGAAATATTATCTTAATTATTTTTTTAATTATTGAATGTCTAATAGGCTTAAATAGACTAATAGACTCAGGCTCAGGCCAATGCTTTTTTTTTTTTTTAAATATAAATCAGGTTAGACTTATAATTTGGACTTACCCAAAGTTAATAGACAGGTTAGACCTAAAGTATTTTACAAATATCTAGCCTATTTAAGTCAAAGTCCAACTCAATTAATTTACACCTCTAATTCTACAGTATCGGTGTAAATATGTTAGGGGTTCATGTGAGATTAAACCTAACCTTGTATATTTAATAAAATATAATATACTTAGAATTAAAAATAAATAAATTTATTTAAAAAATAAGCAATAAACTTACTGTACAAGGTTGATTTACAAGTTTATAGGCATAATTTTAAGGAAAATATTATTCTCCTTTCACATAAGACAGCTTCTCTCTAATGTTCTCTCATTTTGATTTTCGTATCCCACCTTTTTTTTTCTTGTAATGGTGGGATCCATCCATTTTTTCTCTACAACATAAAATAACTATCTTATGTGAAAGAAGACTAATAAAATTCTAATTTTAAATAATGAAATAATATTATTTTAATTAATACTATTTTTCTAATTCTTAATAAATCTTCCAGGCGTGTTAGTTGATGCTGAGGAGCTACATAGTGAGCTTCAAAGTGACAATCTTAAGTTGCAGCAGGTTGGGAGTGCACTTCTTGTCAAGCTTGAAGAGCTTCTTGAATCTTATTCTATTAAGAAGAATTTGACTGAAGCTATGAAAATGTCAAAAAAGAGCTTTGTGTCAAGTGTAACAGTCACATTTCTGAAGGCTAGTTTTGTTCTGCATTGAAAACTGTAGACTTAATTGAGAAAAGCAGTGGCGGAGCAAGAATTTAATTTAAGTCCGGCCCAAAAAATTTGATATATCAAATTATCAAAATATTTTTGTAATTACACAAATCTATTAGGAAAAAAATTTACTTAAAATTTTTAAAGTAATAGGATTGATATTATTTTAACAAATAATAAATATTTATTTAAAATTTAAAATATAATATAAAATTAAATTAGTAAAGAAAGTGCACATTATATGTATATATATATATATATATATATATATATACATATATGAAATTTTCATGTGACTTTTATGAACATTTTCATGTGATCTTTATGAACATTATTTCATGTGATGTTAATGAAAATTTATTTCATGTGATCTCTGTGAATAAATTTTTTTATCTTTAATATTTTTATTTGGTTTGGTTCTATAAACTTTAGTTTGTAATTTGGTAGGCCTTATAGGTCATATTAGGTTTTTTAATTTTTTTATAATAGGTCAGACCAGACCTATATATCAAGCCTTTAATAGGCAAATATAGGCTCTAAATATTTTACATAGGCTTATACTATCAAAGCCAAAGTCTGGCCTAACTTGGCCCATTTATATCCCTAGTCGTGATCTGTTAAGAACATCAACGTAGAGGGACAACAAACTTCACAATTAAAAAGAAACATGGAACAATCAGCGACAAATGTTTAAAATCATTTAAATGACATTGAATCCACGTAAATCATTTCATCAGTGGTTAGATATTTTAAAAATATTTAAAATACAAAAAAAAACAAAGAATATGTACAAGAAATTTTCATACTCCATATATATACATATATCTTCGTTTATTTTTCTCTTTAATAATTTTCAATGATTAATCGCCAAAATTCTCATTCCTGTTGTGAAATCAAATACAAATAACACCAAGAAACATTTCAATTCCATTACAATAGCAACTGTAGCTCTACATTAAAATAATTTTTAAAAAAAAAAAAAAAAAACAAGGTAAACGTAATCCATTTTTTAAAAGAAATAAAATCAATAACTACCATCACACAAAAAAAAATTGTAAATAAAAAAAAGGGGCATGAATTTTACTAATAATAGAAACACCCAATAAACAATTATGGTCAACAAAGACAAAGAATTTTTCTTTTACAAAGTTCAAAAATGTAAATCATTTTTTCTCCCGCGGACAATATAATTACCAATGCATATTCCAAGAACATGTATCCGTAAAATATTGAGAAAGGAATGAAACATCGTACCTTGTCGCAGAATGGCTGGGTTCCGGGTGGTGAGTGCAAATAAGAAAAAAAAAGGTTTGAAGAAAACCCCAATTGGAAAAAGGTGAAAGAAGAAGAAGAAATTAATAGGAAAGCAATATGTTATTTGGTCATATACGCAAAGCAACTTCAAATCTTCGTCTATTATCACTATTACAATTTTAGCTAGGGCCAACTTACAATTTTAGCTAGGGTCAAATTATAATTACTTATATAATTATATATAATAAATAAAATTTATTGAAATGTAACAGGGACTCAGATCCTACCTAAGTATAACGTGGCTAACGCCAGTGCACTTCATCTATTTATAAAGATATGAAAATCTTTTGTAATATGTTAAAGACATTGTGAGAGTATCTCTAAAATTAAAGAAGTTTGAGAGAGTGTAAGCAAAGAAGAATCTAGATACCACCTTTGCAGGGAAAGTTTGAATCTTTGTAGTTTCATTATTATTAGTGTATGATTTTCTGAACTAAGTCCCGTTATTTTTACTCCTATGCACTGGGGGAGATTTTTCAAATTAAGAACTTCTTGTGTGATTCTCTCCTCCATCTCTCTAATTTTACATTTTTTTGGTTTTTGCAACTTAGCCGGACCTGCTGACTTGTAGACCGACGTCCAAGTGCCTAGCTATGATGCTGAACTTGACGGTCTATATTTTTGTTCCTGTGCTAATTGAAGGATGCTGTCCCAACACTAATTTCGACATACCATAGAAAAATAGCAAAATGCCACGAGATTTGTACACTAATTACTAATATTTTCTAATCCAAGAGTTCTAATAATAACTCAGATTCAGAAGCAAAACTCTACTCATCGAATAAATCGGGCATATATTCTTGTTTCACTTCTACTAGAAATTCACCATTTAAAAAATTTCATTGATAAAATAAATAAATTAGTCAATAAATTATAATGCTGATGTAATTATGATA